CCTGCCAGTAAGACAGGCATCTTGTGAGGGGAGTATTCACACCTGAGGGGAAAGCTGGGCACATAACGTGCCTGCATGAAAGCACCCCAGCTGGAGAGAAAGCCACCAGTGCAGCAACTGGAGCAAAGATCCTTAGCAATGGGCATGGCCAGGGACAGGCACACAGGGACAGGGCAAGTCCACAGGGACACCTGAAACGAGCGGCTGGCAGGCACCCAAGGGAAGTCTGCAGTGGTCTGTGAGCACCCTGAACTTAACTTGGCTGAACCATTTTTCAAAGCTACCATAATTTTACCACTACACATGGCTTCACATGTCACTGCAGCTATTTATAACTCACAGTGACTTTAAAACACTTGCTTTTCCTGCCACAGCTATCTACCAGTTAACACCTACCATTTTCCTTAATGGATGTCACATACAGCACAGAAGGGGTCATTCCAAGTCGCCTGGAAGTCACCCTAGCCTTCCCACTTAGTTATGCAAGTATTTGTGAGCGTGTGTGTATCTCTGTGTGTGTCTGTGCACAAACATGCATGAATGCAAGAACATCTGGATGCATCGTTCTGTAAACATACAGCCAGCTACAATGCAATGGTATAAGCTGCAAAACCCTTACAGAAAGCTGAAGGAGATGTATTTTTCAGATGAATGTATTGCCTAAATCTGGAATACTACAAATTGGGTGAAACGTGTCTTTAACGTGTTACTAAAACAACTTAAATCTTCTGGCATCTATCAAAACACCGTGCCCAACAGCAGTCCTTACTAGACAGTGACACCCGTGTGCACTACTGGCACTGGAGGGGAGATCCTCAACCAACACACAGCTCTGCTTCAGCTCTAATGAGCTCCACTGAAGGGTAAAATTAAGTCAACTGAATTATAAAATTACACACTACTCAATAATCCCCCCCCAATACGGTATATTAAAGCAATTTATTTCAAAGCAGTCATTCTTAAGAGAGGGTAATTGAATTCACAATGTCTTGACTATTTTCTGACTTCGATAACAGCAACCCTGGATACGGGAACAGAAGTCAAGTACAACTTAGAAGTGCTACTTGCCCAGCTGTCACAATGGATTTTATTTTTAGTTTATTTCTTAAAAAAACCAACTTACTTTGAGTCCATTTTTGTCACTTTCTTAGTGAAAAATTCATCCACACCTTCATCCACTCTCCCCATAAGGCCATTCTGATCCCCTTCTGGAGGCACTCCAGCAGACACCTGACAGAAGAAAAAGCGCTCTCTGGTACACAATAATCTAAGCATCCGTGTTTCACTGATCATAACTAAGAGTTAAGACACTATAAAAATCGCGTGTGCCAACCAAACCTCAGTGCAGACAACGGAATCACCACCGTAACTCCTGCTTTAGTCAGGCCAGTTGATGCATTCCATCAAAGGCAAAGTAACCCAAACCACCCGTGACAGACTGGATACCGCAATGCAGGAGCCCAGGAACCAAATGCCTTGGGCTTGTGAGAATAGAGCACTGCTTCAGTTTGAAAAGAAAAAAAAAAAAAAGGCAGTTAGGGAAAAATTAAAGCCTGATCAGGTGGTGACCTGAAGAGAAAGTATTTTCAACAGCTAGTAGTTTCCCTACTCAGAGAAAACCGTATGTTCTGGATTTTGGATTTAGAGATTTAGAAACAGAGCTCCAGCAGGCTTACAGAGCCTTTTAGAGTTCATTCAAGCCAGCCCTTCCAGAAGCAGAGACTCTAAAGACAGAATCAGGTGTTTAACTTGAGGAACCGAACACAGATTTTCCCTGAAAATGGAAAACCGGCTCCCTTTCTTCGGCTGCAACGCCCACGTTCTGAACGTGGGTGACTGGTGGCATCTAACCCAGGCTGACTTTGTAACACCTCCAGCCACAAAGGCTCTGTGAAGATTAGCTGGTGACTCTACGGCCTCCTGAAGATGAAACACACCGTCTCCTGGCAGGATTTCTCCTGTGGTCTAGCTCCTGGACATGGCTTTGATGTGGAAAAGCTCTATTACCAGTAGTGAGACTTCCTTCAATTTGAATGCCAAATGGAAACCTTTTAGGTGACTACAGACGGCTCCACGAGACCCAACCCAGTTGTATTCTTGGTAGCACTACCAACCAGGCTCCGTCTGCTCCAAAATAGCAGCGTTTGTGCTTTGAAACAATTTAAATCAAGGAATCTCCTAGTTGCCACCGTAACTCAGAGTAATCCCAGCTTCGCTTTTCAGCCAGAATACACACTGTTTTATATGCCTATGAAAGAAAAAGAAATACTCTTAAAAGCTGCTGTTGATATCAAACCCAGTCTCATCAAGCCAGGACAATGGATCGGATAGGAACTAGTGCTTCAACACATCCATGAAACTTTTTACTTTCCATGGCTGAACCTTGTTAGAAGCCTAGTATTATCTTTGTTATCAAAGATGATAGTTAAGATTTTATTGATACCTGCTGTAGTGACGTAATACTGACCTGAAAAGAGCCTGCCCAGTAACAACTGCTTTGTTGCCAGTCAAACTGCGTATTTTCAGTGCAAAACAGCTTTACTCTAAGACGTACAGTGACTTCCCTGACTTCCAACTCTGCCACCTTTGGGGTTTCCTATAGAGAACTTGCTTAGGTGGAACATCTGACGCTAGGCAGCAATGCATGAACAGACATCTGGGTTGGTCACACCAGTGCTGGTTGTCTCAATGTCAGTATTTACCTTCTCAGTCAAAAACCAGTCAACCCCGATGTTTCAACCGAGATGTGTCAACCAAAAGTGGCTGAGGCATTTCAACAGAAACGAGAAACCACGCAATACTGATACTGGAGCCCTCCAGACAGCGCATCTCCTGAAGGGGAAGTAATGCAAGAATCCAATGATCTACAGCAAATGAGAAAATCTACCTCAAAAAAGAGAACAGTCTGCATTGAAACAGCAGTAAGTTCTCCTAAAATTGCACTGAAGTTATACACAAATGTCGAGGGCTTAATAAGGTCCTCAAGGCACAAGGTTTTCTTATAGATGTTGACTGCAATGCCTTTTAGAGAGCAATGTGAATGTAAAAGCCTGAGCTCTGGTTCATTTTGTGTTTCATACTCCCAATGCTAAAAAAAAACCAACAAAAAAACAGAAAAGAGAAAAAAAAAGTTCATTTGTCAATTTTTTCATTTTTTTTTTTAGCCTAAGTTTAAAAGCGAGCCTTCTGTGTCCCTTTGTTAAGGGAAAAACTGGCTTGGAAGCAGAAATAAATAAGATGAACCACAATCTTCCATACATTAGAGATTCACCTCTTTGCTGTACTAAATCTTCACGCATGATGGAAGAACTTGGGAGGTTAAGATCTCACAAAAATCTGAATGATACACAACTGTTTTATCATACTGCTTCAAAGCTACTTGGGGGTGGATGGTGCTCAAGTTCTCTTTTTTCTTCCCCTCTTTTTTTTTTTTTTCCTCTGAACACTCATTTCAGTAAAAAATCTGACGGAACTACAAATCTTTCCTCTGCTTGCCCACCCACCCCGAGTTAAAAGTTTACATTTCTCCCCATTTTCTTCATTTTTCCCTTTTTTCCTTACATTTTTTCAACCTACCAAGAACAAATCTGTTTTCCAGCAAAACCAGAGAAGTACAGCTACGATCATCTCGGACCCCTTAAATTGCTAAATGGAAATAATGGGAACAGCAAACAACCCAACAGGCATGCCTTAAGCGACAGAAAAGGTCAAGATTTTGCCTCTCACATTTCAAGCGCTTTTCCTAGCCGCTGCCTTCTGCATTCTCAAAGTGGCAAAACCCGCAGCAAATCGATCCTGCAAACAATGCCACAGTCCACTCATGACTCGGGCCATCAAAATTTGGCCGTTTTGTTTTCAGAGGCGTCAAAGCAAACTTCTTAAGTCTTCCAAAAATTTGTTTAGACTTGTTACAAGGTCCGAACTAGTAAGGTATGAGATGGTCCATGAACACAAGACAGAGACAAATGAGTTTAAGGAAAAAAGTTCCTTTCAACTTCCGCAACTAAATCAACCCCTGATTTCCTAATGAATTCAATAAGGATGAGCACTCCCCCAACACTGCACTATCATGGGGAGTAACCCCTCTCCTCTACAAGAAGTAAGTTTTTTGTTTCTGTTGAGCAAGATATACTGTATGTCCTAGTTCCATGCCTGGCAGCGAAGCACTTGCCCCCTTCCACGCCCCTGTGCAAATGGCACAGGATGCGCTGGGGAAGTTTGGGAGAGAGGCAAGTTTAGCAACTGGGAAAACACGTCCATTCTGCAGAACTGGAAGAATTAAACACAGATGTGTTTCCACTGCAACGTGGAGACGAGTCCGTCCTTCTGCTACCTCTATCCTTCCCCACAAGGTGCAAGGGAACGGGAAGTTGGCTTGAATATCCCCTCTGCTTGAAGGCTTCTCCATGTCCAAGTGGTGCCAAAAGGCATTCTTCTGCCTGATAGGATCTTTCCCAGCGTTGGGGAAATTTTCAAGGGTCCTCTCCACTGACAATCCTCAGGGAGAAGAAGGGGCCACAGGCATTCATTACGAGGCAGCATAACTCAAGAGAAGCGATGGCTGCCCCTCGATAAGGGTTACTTATCGTATCAGCCATGAGATAGCTCTGTGACTCCTCCACACAGACCCCGAGGACACACCATCACAGAAATAAATCTTTATCGATGTGGTACGGCAAGGAAATGGAGCTGTGGGAACGCCCCACACGTATACTTGGGTTCACACCAATGCCCTTCGTAGTCAGACAGTGCTCTTCTGTTTTGGTTTTCTAAGGCAGGCTCCAGCATGAAAAGCAGATCTGTGACTATGCAGATTTGCTGGCCCAAGCACCATCTTTAGTTAAGGAGCTGTGGGAAGCTGGGTGTCACAGAGCAGCTCCTCTGAGACCTGATAGAAATAAGAATTCATGCCAAGTTACCACGTCTTAACGCGGGCAGAAAAAAGGATTAAGACTTAACAAACCCTCGCAATATAATTGAAAAGTCTCATGATATTTTGTGCGTTTCCTGTGAAAGCTCCAAGTACCTCCAAAAACTGCTTCCATGAGAAAACAAAAGCAAATTAAGAAAAGGATAAAACTTATCCTGATTTTAGGCTGTGTCAAACAAGACAAAAAGCTTGTAATAGGGATTGCGCACTGCAAGACGCGAATACCAGAGGAAAAATTTAGTACTTGCTTATGGCTTTTTAAGGCTTTTTAACAGTTGTCTGCTTTACATTGCAAGAAAGACCTGACTCATGGCAAAAAGCAATCAGCAGATGACATCACCAGCAATATTTTAATGTAGACTCACTGCTGCTTGGCTGGGCTGCTGCTTTTTGTTCCTTTTGGGCCTTAATTTTGTAAAGTGTTCCAGTTTTCTCCCTTCTTCTGATGGCAGCTCTGAAATGAATCCAGAAGTTCGTTTGTCTGGCCTGCTGGAAGGAAATGGTGGGTCTTCTATATGGATAGGTACTTCTTCCAGTGCTTTATCTAGATCAAACTCCATCTCTAAGAGAAACCAAAACTTTCTAATTAGACTTAACATGCTACTTAAAACAAAAGACAATGCCATTCCTCTCTTTTGTGGTAAATAATTATAAAGACGTTCAGAGGGCTCAGCCACAACAGGTTTGTGAGCGGACGGAGCACCGTGAGCAGACATTTACCACCGAACACACTGGCAGAGTCACAAAGCAAAGCAACCAGTGTGGGCCTCAAAAGCTGTGCAGAGGGAGGGAGAGTCACCCGTGCTTTTCAGCCGAGAGCCACCTAGAAGGATCTCAGACAAGCAAAGGAGCAAAAAGGTTTTAAGAAATTCTCACTTACCAAAAGCTCTGGACACCGGCCGGAGCATTCTACTGTGGATGCTTTTCCTTTTCGATTTAGGAGTCATCTACCAACATAAAACAAAACAGAAGTTACTTTAGCGGAGAGAAGGAATGACAAAGTACGCCTTTTCCTTTCTATCCCGCAAAGCAGCTCTTCAAGCCCAGGTATCATTTCAAGATCTGATAGGATTTAACACCAGGAGAGAATGTTTGGGTTTTTTTTTTTCGGATTTAACACCAGGAGAGAATGTTTGTTTGTTTTTTTTTTTTCCCTTTCCTGCCCTTCTCAAACATTCAGAATTTTTTCTAAATTGACATTTTGCTCAACTGACTTTGAACAGAACCAGGGAGGGGGTTTGTTCTTCCCATTAAAACCGCAGGCTGTACATAGGATGATTATTTGAGTCGTCCAAGCATTAACTCATTGATCCCCAACTGTGAAGCAAGGGAACTATTAAAATCTCACCTCTGCATTTGAGATCGTGAGGCACAGAACACTTAACTACTGTGGCCAGTACTGCACAGTTAATGACAATACCAGGGACAGCCTCCCCTTTGTTCTGGCTTTCATTTTTGATAGAAAATACACTTCCTCAGTTCATTTGCTAATGTCACGCTACTGATTAAAATTCAGGCATTTATACCTCTGGACACCACCACACTGCTCACCAGACTTCCCTAGGAAAATGCAGCCTTGGAGCATACAGCCCTTCTTCAAAAAGCAAAAACCACTGTGTCAGAGTTAGCAGCATCTCCAGCAAACACGACTTCCCTGGACTGTAGATACACTGAGAGTAGGTGGAAAGTTACCTTGGCATACATTCATCGTAGTTACTGAAAGTTATGTGCTATTATTCTTCTCATCTTCACATTCCCAGAGAAAAGGAGTACGTTGCCTTAAGAGCACAAATACCCAGACTTAAGACCCGAGTTTGTTATTTCTGGAAGAAAGTTGCCCTTATTTTCTTGCCTGAACTCTTTGCAAAGTTTGCATGGCAAGAAAGACTGTTTTGCTATAGGAAATGCGTGCATCACCGATCCCAGACCTCTTCACACAGCCCAGCGCTGTCACACTTTCAAACAAAAATTTGACCTGCAGGTTTTCTAACGACTTAATTTAACACGACTCAGCTTCTGCAAAGACGGGCTCCTTTCGTGGCAGAGTCGCACAGGCTGGCTTCAGCGACATCCACAGGCTGCCATTAGTGGCTTCAAATCTGGAGTGTCAGTCAGGAAGCTGTTATGGCTCACAACGCCTTACCAGAATTGTTAATCAAGTTTCGTAGTAACAATTTCATATGAGCCAGAAAAGAAACAGTTGGCATTGACCTTTCAGACAAATCACGAATTGTTTAAGGTAAACATCTGCTAGTTTCTATGTATGGAAAGTCCAGTGCACAGGTTCACATGTACCGAATTCATACTCCCATCCAAGGTAAGCCAGGAGGATTATTATGCCACTGTTCACACGCTCAGGGTTATGACAGATTTTCATAACAGGGAAGTTATTACCCATCTTCTTAAGACCAGAAAAGGACTTGCAGACTAAAGAGCAGGCAGTGATAGCATTGTCTGGGCAACAGAGCTCTGTTTTTATTGCCATGCACATCGCTGGGGGAAAAAAAAAAAAAAAAAGAAGATACCTTCAGCAGTTGCAGGTTTCCATTTCCACATTTGACTATCATCAGTAAATGACATGATAGTTTCAAGACCAGCCAGGCAACAGCTTGCCACCTGAGCAGACCTACCCCGAAACGAATGAGCAGGCAAACGGTTACTGCCTCAAAAGGTCAGACGTTACTTTCAGAGCTGCCCAATAAATTCAATGCAACGGATTCGACGGCAAGCGGCTGGAGAGAGGCTGAACTTTTTCAGCCCAAATTGCAGCGGCTTGTGCAAGGGGTAGGCTCTGAACTGCCCGCCTCCACACCGGCCGATCCGTCACGCAAACCTGGAGCAACCAAAGGCATCCGCGACCGCACGTCAGGAAGAGTTGAAGCAGCTCAGCGTTTGGGGGACAGCAATTAGCAGCTGCTACCAACAGTCCCCTGGTTTTATTTCCAGCCGCAGCCCGTTTCTCTTGTTAATGTCTATTTGCACGCCCTTTGGTCTGCTTGCCTTTGTTTTTTTTGGTGGTGCGACTGGAAATCACACCTGGTAGGATAACGCAGCAACTCAAGCGCTAAAGAAGATCAGAAAGGAGGCCAGAAAACCTCCCATCACTCAGCAGCTGAACACAGCCAGTGTTCAGAGCGCTCCTGGATGAACAGGCCAACTGAGAGCTTGCACTGGCCCAGGGCACCCAGGTAAAACAGCACGGGGCGAGTTTTGAGGTTCCTGTGCCTGGACTTAAATGCTTCAAGACATCCCCGACAGTCAGGAACAGAATGATTTCATCTTCCTTCCCAGACAAGCAAACGCCCCCAGATGACCCTGCAAGGGCTTGTGCTGCTGACTGTAAGCCAGTCTCTGGGTCACTGCTGTACCTCACTGTCAGTTTGGCTTGAGGCATCAGCAGCTTGGCTGCTGGGGATAAAGGCAGAGGGATAGAGACGCCTCCCGTTTGCTTTAACAGCGTGAATAACAGCTATACATACACTTTTATACGAAAACCTTCTGTTTTCTAGCCTGCTCAGGAAATGCACAGATGAAAGGCTTCTGGCCAAGTGAACTTTCTAGATCGCACACAGAGCAAAATGGGTCAAAGCATTAATTTAAATAGGCCAGTCTGCTCTTTTTACAAAATACTAGACTTAATCTCAGCTTAGTATCTCAGCCACCGTGCAGTATGCTACAGCAGCAGAGCACATGTCACTACCAGAGGAGATATCTGAACTCCTAAAAAAGATCTCTGCCTCTCCCCAGCCCGAGCCCCGTTTCCCATAGTTCATGGAAGCAGTTCAGGTTTGGCACACGTGCACCTTCTGCCTTCCCCACCTCTGGCCACGCAAGCACAACGCAGCTCTCCCGCCTTACGTTTCACTCGTGGCCTCCAGAAGGCAAAAGCTGCCAGTATCGCCCTGCCCTCCTCCACTTCTGCCACATCTCCCAGGGACTTGCCATGCTAGCAGACCACCTCCTGAACTCCTTCTTTGTTTTGCCTTTGCTTACTTTTCCGTGAGCACACCGTAGGCTGCCTGGCAGACCAGGTAAAAAGATTAACTGCGTCTCTGGGTCTTGGGAGGCCCTCTTGGAAGTCTGCACGCACCTATGCCACTGAGCTCTCTGGAGATGGCTCCACAAAGGTATTTCTCTGCAGTAGGTCAGAGCCAGCGAAGCTCCACCACGCTCCCAAGTAAGGGCTTATTTAGAGTTATAGACACTCTCACGTGTCCAAGCTCACTTTCAACACCCAGGATCTCTTCCCATGATCATTCTTCCAGATTCCTCCCTTCTGACTCCCTTCCTCACAAAACCACCCAAGCCCTCTTGAGTTTTCATAAATTACATTACCAACTGCAGAAGACCGCTAATATCTTGGGAATTAAAAACAACTAAAATCACTTTGTTTTGAGGGCTAGAAAACAACGTGCTTTTAGCAACAGGGCCTCAGATACTCGACATTCCTTGATCATACAGATAACTGAAAATACTCTCAGTGCTGAGGGATGTGCTTATTTCCGTGTTTTCCTCCTCCAACGTAATTTAAATTCAATTCTATTAGACACAGGGATGCTCTGTGACCCTCCTGTCACTTCCCTTTCAAAAGATTTCCAACAAACTAATGAACAACTTCCCCCTCCCTCTTGAAATCCAGTCTCCCTTCAACCCTCCTTCCTGCAAAACAACGTAAAGGTTTTCAGCTTCGACAAGGCATTAAAGGCGACAGCACAAAAAGGTGAGAACAGCAGGCAAAAGCTCAAGGTGATTCAACTAGATAAAAGAAGACACAACGGACCAAATGGAGATAACCCCTGACATCTCTTCCAGCCTAGTGGCAAGAAAGCCCCAGTTTATACGCCCTTTTTTACGCCGTACTTCCATTAAGCTGGATGACACTCGGCTATAAAACCAAATCGATAGATTTTCTTTGTGCTTATACCTCCAACACGAGCACTCTGCTTCGGCTTGGTCTTAAAGCCAAGGGATGCTTTAAATTCAGACGCTATGCTAGCTGAACCTTTTTGTAAAATCCAATCTCA